AGGAAAATATTACAGCAATTGAGACAAAATCAGCATCGTTTGCAGAACCTGGAGCTTCAGGTACCATACCACTTTGTTTATAAAGCACTTAAAACAGCTACAAGGCCAACCAAAGTGCTGTACAGACAAAACAGGTAACACACCAAGCAAAATACAAAATGAGGTCCATCAGAATATAGACATAAAAACGATGCAGATAATGACGACAAACCAGTGTGACCGATGATCTCTTGAAGAAAGGACAAAGAAAGGTTCAGACCTGTCCAGAACTGGACAGACAAGGACACAAACTGAGGAGGTGTGATTCAGGCACTGATCGTAGGCCTGTCACAATAAATTTTGCTGGGCCATTAATTGTCTCGTAAATTATTGCGATAAACGATAATATTGTTTGACATTTGGCAATATTTAGTAATTATGGTCAAATTTAAGAAGAATTGTTGGTTAATTTTTGTTTGTAGTGCCTTTTTTGATCACCAGATGGCAGTATAAAACTGTATGAACCAAAGGATGGATAGTGAGTGAACAAGCAGTGTGTCTCTTTACGAAAAATGGGAGGGAGGCCCCTTGACGTGACATGGGCTGTCTCTTGTTCCTTTTTATCGGTTCTCAAAATGCCGGACGCTCAGTGATTTGAGCTCTTTAGCATAGTATTGTTCACACAAAGCTTTTAATTTAAAAAAAAAAAAATCAGTAAACAAGTTCTCAGCTTCTTTTTGCAGAGAAAAACAACTTTTTTTACACCAAGACAAGAGTTTCAACCATGAATTTGAGCTTCGACAAGATGGAGGTTTTCACCCCATGTCAGCCTGTTAGCTTAGCTCGTAGCTTAGCTTCTCAGCTTAGCTGCTTTTAATGATCCAAAAACACAATTTTGGACAGAAAAAATGGATTTTAAAGAGAAAAGAGAAAGGGAGGGGGTCAGTGAAGAGCACCAGAGTTGAGCTTTTTGTCATCCAGAGTCTTCAGTAGAAAGAGAGAGAGACAAAAAAAGATAAAGCCTATAAATGAAAATGAGGTTGATAATTTTCATTTATCATGCGATTAATTCATTTATTGTTTATTGCGACAGACCTACCTGATAGGACAGGTTTTATCAACAAAACAGAGAAAGTTTTCAAAAGGTTTGTGGAAAGTTGAGGACCAAGTCAGTAGTTTTAAACAGGGCACACTTTAAGACTATTTGGCAGAGTGTCTATGACTGACTGGCAGGTGGAGTGAAACGAGAAGCTCCTGATTATTGTTGCAGAGGACCTGTGAGTGACAGCTCTGATGAAAAACAGCTGAGAACTGAGCAGAAGAGGAAGGGTCAGTGATACTCTGGCAGCGCCTGGTTTGACCATACTCTTGGCAAGAGGAACCTTAAACAACGCAGGCATGTGAGGTGATCAAATGTGAGGAGCTACTGCCATCATCTGTGTTCACCAGCTTTCAGTTGAGTTTATTCAACTGGTTTTACTGTGTAATGTGCCACAATCTATCAGCCTCCAAAGTGCAATGCAGATTTTAATCTTATTGATTTTCTTGACAAAACGATGCCTAAATATGACGATTTTATATTTATCTGAGATTGTATAGTCGTGTATGTTGTCCTGAAAAGCCAATGGCTACAACATTTTTAAACATTATGCTCTTAATCTTGTGCACTTTGTCTGGCTCCACACAAGAGTTTGGACGTGCACCAAGTTTGGTTTTATTTTATGGTTTGTCTGTTTTCGTCCTCTGTTGCGAGCAATGTACCAACTCCTATTTTGATATGTGGCTGCATCTATGTGCAACAAAGGCCAATAATGAAAACTGAGTTGTCACGTAAAATATCAAAGATGGCCACCGCCATATAAATATGTAAACTGACCACAACTATCATTTAAGGAAACTATGCTTTGTAGTTTTTAATACTGCTTAAAAGTATGGTTTCCTCAAATGACTGGGGTGGTCGATGATTAATATGAGCTGCCCAAGGCCACCTTTGGCTCCACCATTGCAGCTGTAAGTGGATAAACGTCTCCCCCCACTTGCCAGGATCCATCACTCTGCGTTGCCTTGGACAGTTAAAAAAAACAAAAAAAAAACTTGTCATACATTCCACCCATTCATCATCTTTATTTGCTTCTTATTTTTCATTTCATGGGGGTCACTGGTGCCCATATTAAGCAGTCACTGTGTGAGAGGCGGGGACACCCTGGGCAGGTCGCAAGTCCATCCCAGTTGTTATACATGTTATACATTGACTGGGGGAAAAAAAAAGGTATCATAGTAATTTTGTTGGATCAACTTTAGCATTGATAATAATAATAATAATAATAATAATAAAGTGCTATGTGTTGTCATAATTGTATGTTCCCATACAACGACAAAATTGGCTCTCTGCATTTAACCCATCGCACCTGGGATACACCCAGGTGGAGCAGTGGGCAGCTACGCAAGCGCCCAAGGAGCAATTCAGGATTAGGTGTCCTGCTCAGAGACACCACGAGGTGTACAACGACCAGGGATCAAACCCAGGGCTTTCGGGTCCCGAGTCGGCTGCCCTGCCCCTACATTCCAGCATGCATTAACTGTGGCATTGTTTGGACAAGCTTCTGCAATGTCACAAGATCTATTTATATCCAGTGTTGCAATAATTTTTCACAAAGATCTTGCATTGATGACTAGGCACTAGGCATGATGGGTGCATCACTTCACCTGCCTCTCTTCTTACCCTGATGTGCCCATCACTCTGGAACAGGGTAAATCTGGACTCACAGACCACATGACCTTCTTCCATTGCTCCAGAGTCCAATCTTTATGCTCCCTAGCAAAAAGAAGCCTTTTTTCCAGTTAGTCTCACTGATTAGTGGTTTTCTTAAGGCTACACAACTTTTCAGTCCCAATCCTTTGAGTTCCCTTCACATTGTGCATGTGGAAATGCTCTTACTTTCACTATTAAACATAGCCCTGAGTGCTACTGTTGTTTTTCTTCAATTTGATTTCCCCAAACGTTTAAGTAATCGACGATCATGATCATTCAGGAGTTTTTTCAGCCACATTTATTCCTCGAAGACGATGTCTCCCCAATATCCTTCCAGTTTTTAATAATATGTTGGACAGTTCTTAACCCAGTTTTAGTAGTTTCTACAATCTCCTTAGATGTTTTCTCTGCTTGATGCCAGTGATTTGACCCTTCTCAAACAGACCGACATCTTTTCCACGACCACACGATGTGTCGTTCAGCATGGTTGTTTAAGAAATGAGAAGCAACTCATTGCACAAGTTGGGGTTAAATAACTTGTTGCAGCTGAAAGATAATTGTCCATGCAGTAATTATCCAATAGGAAGCTTGTATCCATTTACTTATTTAAATCCAGGTGGCAACTTTTTTTTTTGGCCAGGCAGTGTACATTTATTTTATGTAAATCTCTGATTAGGTGAATTAATTCAAAAATGTATTTTTTTTTAATATTTTGCCTAAACCTCAATACAATTTTCAAGGTTTTTTTTTTCCCATTTTATTTTAAATTATGTAAAATGGTAAATAGACTGTACTTACATAGCGTCTTTCTATCTCATCAAGATACTCAAAGCTCTTTACACTACAATCTGTGCCCTCATTTACCCGTTCATACAGCACTCTACTATATTGTTACAAAAAATAATCAGTGCTTTATCACATTCATACACTGATGGGACGCACATTGGAGGCAATGAGGGGTTCAGTGTCTTGCCCAGGGACACTTCAGAATGTGACTGCTGGTGGAATCGAACCCCCAACTCTTGCATTGGAGGTCGACTGCTCTAACCGCTCAGCCACAGCCGCCCCTGTAAATGTAAAATTTACTTGATTTTTTTTTTTTTGTCTCTGTGAATATCTCAATGAAGGCTGAGAGTCCATCTACTGCAGGTAAGACACTGACTGGCAATTAGTACTCTACACAACCCCACTTTAAAATGCATCCCATCCCATATACCCTCAGGAGTGACCACCACCTAAAGACTCAAACTGTACACTGAAAAGCAGGATATCACCAGTAGAAACCGGAGTGTGCACACCAGTGCCTTCATCCTGAATCACACACTCGCAGGGAGAACCCTGATCTGGATCTAAAACCAACAGGCCGGCATCAAAACTCCCCAAGACCATAAATTCAGGTTGTTATGTAACTTTGTGCAGAGAGCACGTGCACTGCAGCCAATAAGGAGATTAATCTGGAAGACTGCCTAAATGACTGAACAGATTATAGATTTCTGTAGTTGTTCGTCCTCTCAGAGAGTGATCAATCTTTTGACTCGTCCATGTCTCTTACAGCTTTATTTCTTTATTATTCATGAGCAAAACATTTCCTGAAGATTTACACTAAAACCATCTCACGGAGGAGCAGAGGCGAGGCCGTTGCGTACAAAATCCTGTGAAACTGTGAGCTCTCAGAGGACAAGTTGAGGATGATTCTCAGCTACTACCAAACCAAATTTTAGCTTAATATCAGCTAAACTGACTTGAGCTGATATTTTTGTTTGCCAATGTCACTTAGCTGCTGTGGCCATCTTAAACTGGATTGATGCTTAGTGTGTGTGTTGGGGGGAACTCTCAGGTACTACCACAACTTTTAGTCCAAAAGTACACTTAGAGCCTTTTTGTGTTTGCTAAGGTTGTATAGCCATTGCGGCCATCTTGAATGTGGTTGATTTAGTGTTAAAAACTCATTTTTGTGCTACTCGAGTTAAAATGTTTGAGACTTCCAGAATCAACCAAAATCTTGTCTCGAATTAAGCTGGACCAGATTCAATTAACTCAACAGTTCCTACTTTATCCTGACCACCTGGAACCAACCCAAAGACCGCCTGGAGGTCCCAGAAGCCGTTATTTGGGAACCACGGAGGAGTAAGTCCTGGGAAAACACCTCCCTCCTCCCTCCCAGACCCAGGAGCAAAGCTGCCCCCACAGAGTTCAATGACCGCTGCAGGACTCACACGTGTGTCTTCATCACAACAAGAACCAGAGGACTTCCTCATCCGTCACCCACCTCAGGCAGAAGAGTCCAAGGCTCCGACCCGGGACCGACCGGTCCAGACAGTCCACAGGTGAGGTGTCAGTCCGCAGGTGGAAGGACAGTTCAAAGATGAAAGAGCAGTCCAAAGACGAAGGGACAGTCCGCAGCGCGCGCTCAGTCCACGCTGGACAACATTTTCAAAGTGGACAAAGGACAGAAGCCGGAGGACACAATATGGCTCAGCCCGCGGGACAGCTCGTCTCATGCAGCTGAGGAGAGAGAGCACCAACACGCGAGACGACAACCCCGCCCCTTTCATGATAAGCCCCGCCTACTGGCATTGGGCAGATAGTGGTGCGTTCAGGGCCGCGGTCAGAGGATTTTATAGTTTTGTTGTTTGTTTCTCTTGAAAGTATCTCCATTGGGGTTCGTTTTCTGTAAATAAAATGTTTTTAAATGTAGAAATTCAAATAATGTAAACGCTTTGTTGACATTTTGAATTAAAATATTTGATTCAGTTTAAATGAACATTTTTTTACACTAGCTTTGGTATTGTTTCACAATTTTGTGGACTCTGTATTTTGTTTCTGTGAGTTTTGAAGGAGGGTTTGTGCAAATGTAATAAACAAGCAACATCTTACCTGTTGCAGATGGCTCTTCCAATAATCTCAGATTGCTATAACAGCTAGTCAGAGGAGGACCAAACTGCCATCTTTAAACAACATATCTAATAAAATAAAATAAAAAAAGTTCACATGAGCAGCTGTGAAATTTCTAGATTTTAACTGTTTTAAGATGAGAACAATCCACATTGGTCTTGGCTGCATTCAGATAGCCATTAACTCATCAGATCTTTTCTCGTAAGATCAGCATTTATCTGGTCTATGTAGAGATTTTTATTTTATTGTTGTGAAACACATTTTCGTTTCGCTTACCTAATTTTATTTGAACTAAACACAACATTTAAAAGATGCCCTTTGTGACCAAACATTTAAAGTCATTGCAATGCATAAAATAAAAAGACTTTTGACCAAAAAGTGAACAAATATGCTATAGAATATTTTAATACATCTAAAATCATTATTCTCTTCAAGACTAAAACACATAAAACTGTTCTGTTTTTCACCAAACTGATTTAATAAACCCTAAAGTACGCATATAACAAGATCCAAACAAGATTAAAAGTAAAAACAACTGGACTTTATATGTAACTGAAGACATTTTGCTTCTCGTCCGAGGAGCTTTATCACTTCAAAGAACAGGAGCAAAACGTCTTCAGTTACAAACAAAGTTCAGTTGTTTTTGCTTTTAATCTTGTTTGAATTTACCATGTCCTGGATGACTGAGAATCTCCACCAGCGCATATAACAAGACCTTTAATCAAACAAAGGTTTCAAGAATGCACAACTTCTCTCATCTGCTGGGTTTGGGTTAGTTTATCTGACATTAAATATGTTTTAAAAAATGCTTTATTAATCCCAAAGGGAAATCATTTGTTGTTGTAACTCGTTATCCTCATTTCATTAAGAGATGTTATAGATACTGATGTCTGTAGACAGGAGCTCTTGTAAAGGTCCATCCCACAGTGGATCCTAAGAAACTGGCTGCAGATGCCGTCCGATCCGTCCACCCAGACTCGGCTGGCCTCTCAGTTCCCCCGGGCTGTAGGACTGCCCGAATGCCGGGCAGAACTCCTCCCAGAGCGATGGCCACTATTCCCAGCATTCTGACGAGCTCCTTGTCGCTGTGGACAGCCAACTGTAGGTGCTGAGGAACACTCCTGTCCTTCCGCTGTCATGAGCCGTGTTTCCTCCTAGTTCCAGGATCTCAGTGGTCAGGCACTCGAGCACAACTGGCAGGTAGATGAGAATGCATCCACAGAACATCCTTTTTGACTCATTTGAGATTTGAAATTCTTTGAAGTTCTTTACATGATTTACTGTAATTAATGTATCATAGTTTCCTTTAAGCCTACAGGACTAATCTGACACTGACTTGTCTAATTATTTGTTTTGTCCTCACATTACTCTGCTTTTTCTTAATGATTCTTGTATACTGAAGAAAAATATAAACACAACGCTTTTGTTTTTGCTCCCATTTTTCATGAGCTGAACTCAAAGCTATGAGACTTTTTCTACGTACAATACAGGCCTTTTTCTCTCAAAGATTGTTCACAAATATGTGTAAATCTGTGTTAGTGAGCGCTTCTCCATCCACCTCACAGGTGTGGCATATCAAGATGCTGATTAGACAGCATGATTATTGTGCCTTGGACTGACCACAATAAAAGGCCACTTTAAAATGTGCAGTTTGATCACACAGCACAAAGCCACACATGCCATAAGTTTTGAGGAGGTGTGTAATTCAGTACAAGTAATGTTAAAATAAAATAAAAAAATCTTAATTTCATTCATGTAATTTAAGACTGTGGTACAGACTATTACCTGGAATTTCCTTTCAGACCAACAATAATGAGCCTATAGGACGGTTTGTTGTACACCAGGAGCTCAGGGGCAAAGACAACGATCTTAATAAAAAAAAATTGAAAAAAATCCTGTTCTGACAAGAAGAACCTGCAATAAAAACATCTGCCAGGAGGTTTGTAAATTACGCAACAGGGGGTTGAATCTGCCTCGCGGTTGTTATGTTTTCATCTCTCTGAGAGGTGCTGGATTACACAAGACCTCCTGATGTTTACTGGACGACGTCAGCGTGGAGGTGTTTGTTTTAGGTCAGTTTGCAGATGATAAACGATCAATGGCTGAGATGCTTGTTGTCAACGAATGATCTCATGTTTCTCCTGATAACTTAAAGAAGAAATGACTCAGACTTCTTCCTCCTGCCCCAAATCATCCAAAACTATGAACAAAATATTCAAAGATCGATTAAAATACAGTCTCAGAAAAGAAAATCAGTTTTCTTCAAGTTCCTGGAAGGAATGCATATCGCCTGCCTCCTTTCGTGCCAGACTTTTAGGCTAAGATCATCAAATGTTGAAAAAAGTTTTATTTTCTCGTTCAAACCTTGAAAACAACATTTTGCTCAATCATGTGCGATCTCACGTGATGTACACCTGCTCAGAGTGTGTTGGAGATGACTCTCAGCTACTACCACATCATTTAGTAACTCAATAAATGAAAACTGACTCTTAATGCCTTTTTATTTTTCATTTCAAAGGTTGATTAGCAGTGGCAGCCATCATGATTCAGGTGGACTCAAACGTAAATTATTATAAAGGGGAATGGTGGCGCAGAGGTTAGAAGATGGGCCTGTGATCGGAAAGTCACATGTTCAACTCCCGGTACCATCAACATCAAAAAATGTGGGTGGAAAAGGTGGAACACCCACACCTCCCTCCACCCTCATTTGCCCCACCCTGGGCCCCTGAGCAAGGCCCCCAACCCCCATCATCTGCTCCCTAAACAGGTCTCTCTTGAAAATGAGTTCTCGTGGCTCAATGAGACTACCTGGGTAAATTAAAAAAATATATTATTATTGATTTTCATCCAGAGATTATTTCCTGGGCATTCAACAATCCACTGGCTCATGAGATATTTTGCTAAAAGTCATACTCATAAAAACAGGCCATTTCATGGGGGAGGGGGATCTGGATTCCCCCCAATTTTGGAAAAGCCATCAGCCTAACAATAGTTCAGTCCATTGATCCCTGACAAGGGGGGAGGAACTTTGAAAGGGTGCAAGAAGTGTCATTGGTTTTCTGTAGCACAATAGTTAGCGCACACGACATTTGCATGGGGGGTTGTGGTGAAAGCTCAGAAATTTTCTTGTTTTTCTACTCAAAGCAAAAATATTTAGAGCTTTGTAGATGACAACAAAACAGTAATATTTCTATGTTTAAAGAGATCAGTAGGCACAACACATCCTGTTTCATCATTTCAGTGGCCCATGATTCATTTGGTCAACATGTCTGAAGAATATTACTGTTTGATTTAGTGGATTTATTTATTGGACTTTTGTTTGTTAACATGTTGCACATATTTAGAGTTTTAAAATCTTCAAAAACTGCTACTGATCAGTGACAATCATTCAATGACCACAACAATAATTTAAACAGTGTTGGTCGGTCCACTGGGGCAGGTGGGGAGCAGGTTGGGCACAGCCACACCTAAAGAATTCATTTGCCCCATAGTCACATTGTGAGGTTTCTCTGGTTATTTTTCACATTTGTTGGTTTTCTGGTTCTTCAGTTCATTCTTCCTGCCTGTAATTTCCTTCCCCTGTGATTGGCTCCCTCTTCCCAGGTGTTCCCCATTCCTCTGATTAGTTGCGTCTATATTTGTTCATGTTTGGACCTTCACTCCTCGTCTGAGCGTTGTTTGTTACATGTTGTCCTTGTGGGGTTCTTTGTGTTCGTCTTTCCTTGTGAGTAATTTGCCAGGAAAGAAGTAAGCCCTAAAGAATCATTTGATTTAATAATTATTTTTGTTACCTCTGTATCTACATCTGAGTCTGCACTTGACTCGCCTCCTGAGCCAGAAGCTTTCACTAATAAACAAAGTAAATTACTTATTTACTGAGTTTGCTGTGTACTGTTTACTTCTCTCTATTTTTCAACTATTGAGACAATTTTAAATGGAATCTAAAATTATTTTTTTGTGATTCTTTCTCAATTTTTTTTAACTTATTTACTGTTATGGGGTGATACCGTTCAGCGACCCACATTCATCAAATAGATAGGGACATGTCCAGTGCACTGAAGAGCCAACTTCAATACAGTCTTATTTAGGCTGTCATATTTTCTGCCCTGTGGCCACATTTGGCTGGTTTTAGCTCATTATTACGACACTGTCTGCTGTTAGTGTTATAACGGTGAGCTAAACCAGACCTGACGTGAGCTCAGATCTGCAGTGAAACCTGCTGAGTCCAACAGTGGAGATATTCAGTTTAGATCCATTTGGAGCAGATGGAGGGGAGGATCTTATTTAACTAGGTGTGTGTGTGTGTGTGTCCTTGTTTATGCTACTTTGTAAGGCCCATATTTCCAACTTATTCTATATTGTGAGGACCAACTGCTTCTTATGAGGCCCAAAGCCCGGGCCCCCACAAGAAGAAGTCCCGTTGGTGGGTTAGGGGTTAGGTTTAGGACTAAGGTGTGAATTGAGGATGTGTTAGGTTTAGGGTTGGGCATGTACTGGTAATGGTTA